GCCAACATACTGAATTGTTAAAGAATGCACCCTATTTAATTACAGCAAAGTGATGTCCCAGCAAGCCTTTCTCTGGTAAGTATAATTTGCGTTTTTGTTGTGAATAATTTCCCTAAATATTTTGGCAGTCTGCATGAGGACACTGCTAAGCGACATTGACACACTTTTCCTGTTTGGAGTTGGCTTGTTCTTGTACAGTACGTTTAATCTAATCATCATATCCTGACAAAGCGTGGCATGAATGTGAAACTGTGAGACAGAAATAATTTAGGTTACAAAAACTAGCAGTCTTTTCAACCAGAGATTTCCAGTTGCCGCAGGAGTGTACTGATGTGTGGTTGTTCTCTTCCCATGAAAACACTTTCTTTTCTGCAGAATACCTTTTATCACAGGGATAACTGATGAAATTCAGTGTTTCAGTTGTAGTCACTAAACAGGTATAATGGAGAGGTCGTATATATTAAGCCAGACTGAAATATTTTCTTACTTCCTAACTCCTGTAGTGGTTTGAAATTACTGGAAGAGCAAAGTTTGGGAAAAAATTCAAAGCAAAACTGTACAGTGAAAATGCATGTTCTTTTCTTTTCAGAATATTTATGTGTCTAGTGAGAAGATACAGGCAAGGAAATCTAAGTTTCTCTAAGTAGTATAAGATTACAAAAAGTCACAGGAGTTGAATGACGGTGCTGTGCTTTGGCAAGTTTTTATTAATTAAGGAGATGGTGAGAAGGTTTTACAACCAAATATTTCTGTAAATGGATTGAATGGTACATAATCTGAAAGGAATAACCTTCCGTCCTTTCAGGTCGACCCACAACTCTTACTAATCCTGTGTGGTGTGGCCATCCAGTCCTGCAGACAGGAAGCCAGTCTGGAGTACCTTTGCCAGACGAATTGATAGTCACTCCGCGTCCCCTTGTGAGCCTTGCGCTCGGCTGGTGGTGTGATAATTGCGTACCTCCCTGGGGAGAAGCTGCCTGGAGATCCTGACAGTAATGGTGCGAGTGTGATGTTTCCGAGGCTTCTGCGTTGGAAGCAGGGAGGGGATGTTTGTCAGCAGAGACGGGCTGGGCCCTGGGTAAGCTGCGCTCCTCCAACAGCAGCTTCTGGCGGGGTGGAGGACAAGGTGATGCCTCTGCTGCCGTTCCTCGCCTCGGTGTGGGTCTCTGCCATCTGCTTGGTGTAAAGGGACAGGATGCAGACAAGAAAAGGGAATAGATGGTCTTGGCTTTGAGACAGCTTGCTCCTGCAAGCAACCAGCAGGACCGTTGTGAGCTGCCAGGAAGACTTTCTGCATGAGTCGCTCCCTGTAGAGCTCACGTTAATGTTGCGTGGGTTGTGAGCAGGAGGCACGCGTTGCAACCTCTCACTGCCTCCTCATATAAAATTTTCGTGTCAGCTACTACTAAACACCAGCAATCGAAGCTGTTGGATCACAGCCAGCACGGGGTTACACCTTTATTGCTGTACTGGTACGAATGATTAAATGTTGTCTTTTTTTTTTTTTTTTTTTTTTTTTTTTTTTT